ACTGATGGCCAGGGGGCGACATGGAACATGGCAGGCGACCAGCGGCAGCAGCGGTGGACCGCTGAGGGAACAAGGGAAGGAGGAGGTGGGGAGGCGGGGAATATGATCTAGGGACCTTTCCCGTGCACGAATTTCATGTACTGGGCCTCTAGTCTATACTAATAAAAGACTAATATGCTAATTAGACCAGACGTCTTCCGACTTTCTTCCAGACATCCTTTCAAACAAAGCCACAGAGGTTGCAAGGGCTGAGGGCCAGCAGCTGCAGTGGCTGTGGGGGTCGGTCCAGCGCCACGGTCCCTTTTTTTTTTTTTTTTTTTTTTAATATATTTTATTGATTTTTTACAGAGAGGAAGGGAGAGAGACAGAGAGTTAGAAACATCGATGAGAGAGGAACATCGATCAGCTGCCTCCTGCACATCTCCCACTGGGGATGTGCCCGCAACCCAGGTACATGCCCTTGACCGGAATCGAACCTGGGACCTTTCAGTCCGCAGGCCGACGCTCTATCCACTGAGCAAAACTGGTTTTGGCGCCACGGTCCCTTTTGCAGAGGCCGCAGGAGAAGGCAGAAGGGAGAAGGCAGCGCTGTGGGTGAAGGGAGAAGAGAGAAGGCCAGCGCTGCACGAGAAGGCAGAAGGGAGAAGGTGGCAGTTAGCCAGTTAGGGGGATCAGGTCAGAAGGGGAGTGCAGTTAGGGGGATCAGGCTGGCAGGGGAGAGCAGTTAGGGGGATCAGGCTGGCAGGGAAGAGCAGTTTGGGGAATCAGGCAGGCAGGCAGAGCCAGTGGTTCCGGGTTGTGAGAGGGATCCTGGAGAGGGTGCAAGCTGGGCTTAGAGGGCCCCCACCCCCATGCACGAATTTCTTGCAATGGGCCTCTAGTCTATATATATAAAAAGCCAGTGACCAGAACGCTGTAATGACCGGAACGACCTGTTGCTATGCTGCCCACTGCAACCAGCAAACTGGCCTGATTGGGGGTGGGGCGGGGCTGCCAACTTCCTGCAGCCACTCCCTCCAGCCCCATCCCCAATCACTCCCAGTACCCCAGTAGGGTTCGGAGCCAGCTGGCCAACCTCCTGCAGCCCCTCCCCCCAGCCGGCCCCACCCCCAACCATCCCCCTTACTCCAATAGGTGGTGGGGCCTGCCGGCAAACCTCCTGTGGCCCTCCCCCTGTCTGGCCCGCCCCCGATTGTCCCCCCCACCCCATCGGCTCGTAAGCCCTCCCCCTGGCCAGCCCCACCCCCGATGGGCCTCCACACTCCAATTGGTCAGGACCAGGTGGTTAAACACCCGCAGCCCCTCCCCCCACTGGCCCTGCCCTCAGTCAGCCCCCCCCCCCAACTCTGATCAGAGTCAAGGCCGGTGGCTGCCTCCTGCGGCCCCTCTCCCCAGCTGGCCCTGCCCCTGATGGTCCCCTGACACCAATCAGGGGCAGGGCCAACCGGCCCACTGCCCACAGCCTCTCCCCATGGCTGGTCTTGCCTTCAATCAGTCCCCCCCATCCCAATTGGGGGCAGGGCCCACCAGCCAATCACCCGTGGTCCCTCCCCCTGGCCGGCCCGGTCCTGATTGGGCCCCGATAAGGGCAAGCCGGCCGGCCAACCTCCTGCCACCTCTTCCTCCCGGTAGTCTCCCCCTCCTGACAGGCCCGGCAATCCATGTACACTGGGCCTCTAGTCCTATCTAATAAAAGAGAAACATGGTAATTGGCATACGACCGCCACCCTTCCCATTGGCTAATCAGCGAGATATGCAAATTAACTGCCAGCCAAGATGGCAGCCGGCAGCCAGGCAGCTGGAAGCAAACATGAGATTTGCTTGCTTCAGTGACAGAGGACTCCAACGTTCCCCGCCAGCCTTGCTGGCCTCTGAGCTTGCAGTTTGAAACATAACAAATATAGAAGCTAAACAAAACCCCAGAAACCTGCTTTCAGCCAGCCGGGATCTCAGAGCTGGAGTTGATACTGTGTTTCGATTATAGAACCCAAACAAACCAGATACCTGCTTTCAGCAGCGAGGCCTAAGAGCTGGAGCCAGAGCTAAAGCTGGCCCAGAATAAAAAAAGAAAAAGAAAAAAAGGAGCGGTTGGGAGCTTCAGTCACCCACCAGCCTGAAAACAGCCCTCAGACCCTCACCCAGACTGGCCAGGCACCCCAGTGGGGACCCCCACCCTGAAGGGGGTGTGACCAGCTGCAAACAGCCATCATCCCCTCAGCCAGGCTGGCCAGGCACCCCAGTGGGGACCCCCACCCTGATCCAGGACACCCTTCAGGGCAAACCAGCCGGCTCCCACCCGTGCACCAGGCCTCTGTCCTATATAGTAAAAGGGTAATATGCCTCCCGGCACCGGGATCAGCGTGACAGGGGGCAGCGCCCAAACCCCCGGTTCGCCCTGTGGCTCTGTGTGTGACGGGGTGGGGCCACAACCTCCCTATCCGCCCTGCTCTGTGTGTGACAGGGGAAGGCGCCCCAACCCCCTGATCAGCCCTGCTCTGTGCCTGATAGGGGGGTGCTCCCCAACCCCCTGATCGCCCTGCGGCTCTGTGTGTGACAGGGTGCGGCGCCCCAACCACCCCCCCCCCCCCCCACGGGCCCTGCTCTGTGTGTGACGGTGTAGAGCCATAACCTCCCCATCGGCCCTGCCCTGAGTGTGACAGTGGCGGTGCCCCACCCCATGATCGGCCCTGCTCTGTGGGTGATAGAGGGTGACGCCCCAAACGCCCCCCACGGGCCCTGCTCTGTGTGTGTAGAGCCATAACCTCCCCATCGGCCCTGCTCTGAGTGTGACAGGGTGCGGCACGCCAACCCCCTGATCCGCCCTGCTCTGTGTGTGACAGGGCGGTGCCCCAACTCCCCTATCAGCCCTACTCTGTGAGTGACAGGGGGGAGCTCCCCAACCCCCTGATCGACCCTGCTCTGTGCGTGACGGGGAGCTCCCCAACCCCCTGATCGACCCTGCTCTGTGCGTGACAGGGTACGGAGCCCCAACCCCCCTGATGGTCCCTGCTCTGTGAGTGACAGGGGGCAGCGCCCCAACCCCCTGATTGGCCCTGCTCTGTGGGTGACAGGGGGTGGCGCCGCAACCTCCCCATCGACCCTGCCTTGAGTGTGACAGGGGGCGGTGCCCCAACCCCCCAATCAGCCCTATCCTGAGCATGGCTGAGGGTGGCATCGCAACCTCCTGATCTGCCCTGCTCTGTGCATGAAAGGGGTGGCGCCCCAACTCCCCAGTCGGCCCTGCTCTGAGCCTGACCAGGGGCTGCACCTAGGGATTTGGCCTGCCCTCTGCCACCCAGGAGCAGGCCTAAGCCAGCAGGTCATTATCTCCCAAGGGGTCCCAGACTGCGAGAGGGCACAGGCCGGGCTGAGGGACACCCCCCTTCCCCCCGAGTGCACAAATTTTTGTGCACCGGGCCTCTAGTTTATTTATAAAATCACAGAGGTGGAAGAAGTAATTTGAAGAAATGGGCTGAGGAAATGGGTTATGGAGGCAAAGGAAGGGACCTAGTAACTTGGGAGTGAGGAAGGTGATGGTAATGTACCTGGTTGGTGGGGTGGTGCGGTCATACTGCCAGAAGGGAGAGCTTACTGGGTCCTCTGTCCTAAGAGTTTTAAAGGTGGAGATTTTAGTCCAAGGGAAGATCTTAATAGAATATTTAGCAGCTTTCCAGGTGCTTCCTTTCAGGTTTGTGGTCTCCACTGATGATTGGTCAGTGCCAGAGCAGGGGCTCGTTATCCAATGCAGCTGGTTCTGAGGGCAGTCATGGGGTCGCTGGTTTGGTTTTGTGGCTCTTTTGGGCCTGAAGGTGAAATGCAACTGAGGCCTACATGTTATCTCTAGGGATGTAAGGTCAAGGGGTCCAAACTGCATGACAAGCATATGTTATGGTAGAAAAGGTCACCCTGGGGCGAGGTCCCACCCTACTATTGTCTTTTGCTAGGCACACAGGGCTTTCTGCCCTGGTCACCTTCTGTACCTGGCCCATGGTCCTTGCTCTGCTCATGTCTCTCTAACTGCCTACCACAAGTATAGGTTTATTACTGCAGCGTGAAGTATAGTGGTTAAAAAAACCCTGGGGATATTTGAATATATAGGGGAATTGTTGAATAAATTATGGCATACACACACACACACACACACAGAGGCTATTATGCAGATATTAGAAAGAATGTTAGATATCCATGTATGAACTTGGAGGCAAATATTTGTTGGTAATTTTTTAAAGTTGTAGAGTGTTGAACATATTCAGTGTGATTCCATTTTGGTTATTAAAAAAATGAGGCAAAATACCACTCCATGATCTATGTTTATATGAGAGAATGTGTAGAAGGGTGCCAGGCTGTATGTGTTAACACTGGCTTCTCACGGATTGGACTGCAGGGGAGAGATCATTATGTTTTTATTTTATATCTCTTTACCATTTTAACTTCTCAAAAGAAAAAGTAATTACAAAATTACTTTGTAATTTAAAAAAATCTAATAAAATCAACAAGGAGAAATTAACTTGGATTTAAATTTTATTTAATATGTACAACATTATACTATTTCTTAGTGTTGATATGAAATGTGACTTTTATGGGTGGGGTAGGGGCTATAATATAAGTTCTGCTAACCTCAGAGTTCTTTAGTTTATACCTAATTTTAACATCACCCGATACTACTGAAGTCTTATATCGGGGGAATTTTGTTGGAGCTGTAGTAAGAGCTACAGTAAACACTTAGAGCTAATATAAGGAATAAAATGTAAACTTTCTATGTAAGCTACATAATTCATGGGTATCTTAAGACATTAAAATGGAGAGAGATTATATTTCAGAACCTAAGTGCCTAATGTTAGTTAAAAATATACCTATGATTCTGTTTCTTTGGGTTTTGTTCTGGTCAATCTTTAATTCAACCCTTCACATTGGAATTCATTAGCAGTTCCTTTTCATGATGCAAGGTAAGTGGTTGTTTCTAATCACAAATTCTAAGTATAATCTTACTTCCTTCTCAGGAGACTATTTGGTAGCAATTGAAGAGAAAAACCAAGCTACATTTCTACGTGCTTATGTGAACTGGAGAAGTAAAAGGACTGAAAATTCTCGAGTGTGCATCCGAATGGTTGGACATAATGTGGAGGCACCTTTTCGAGAAACCTTCAGAGACCAGATGTCTATTGTTGAAATGCCGCTTTCTGAGACCCCCTTGTGCATTTCCTGTTGTCCTGTGAAAGGAGACCTTCTTGTTGGCTGCACAAATAAGTTAGTCTTATTTAGTCTGAAGTATCAGATCATTAATGAAGAATTCCCAGTATTGGACTTTGAACGTTCTTTAATTATACACATACATAATATAACTCCTGTTGAGATTTCTTTCTGTGTTGGATATGTGGCTGTCATGTCAGACTTAGAAGTCTTAATCCTAAAGCTGGAGTCAAACCCTAAAAATGGAGAGAGTGTTCATCACCATCCATATAAGCCCAACAGTCCAGTGACACAGGCAAATGATGAAGGTAAATGATGACTTTGCTTTCTTCTTCTAGGTATAGCGTAAACCTCTCTTCTGGCAATCTCTAAAGCACTCTGGTATATATATATATTGCCAAGCCACATTGTGTATAGATTGAGTTATTCCTAAAACACGGGATTGGGTTTGTGATCTTATTCTGTAGCATGCAATGCATTTCAGTAATATTTGTCAATAGAAATAATGGAGCAACTGTTCGATGAGAAGTTTGTAGTCCCAGTTCTTATATTTGTTAGTTGAATGAACTTGGGTTTGGAATACCATTTCTGGGTTTTAGTTTCCTCATGTATAAAACGGGGATTATAATGAATCCTGTTGTATTTGATCAGTTATTATGAGAAATAAATGAGCAAGTGCTAAGATTTCAGAACCATAGTGCCTTGTTAATACATGAAGTGTGTGTATGTATAAATAAGTAACATTATTCCTTGTCTATTTAATTGGTGGGAGATGTTGTGAAATGTCATTTCATTCAAGTAGCATTTAGACTTGTTGAACTCTTCTTCAATATTATTTTTTAAGGCACCAGTAATGAAACTTTGCAACTTGAGTCAGAGGATTTTGTGATCTGCCAGAAGCCCATGGAACTTCTTGGTCAAAATAGTGAACAGTCTGGAGTATCTGTTACCCTGGAGTCAACGGGATTAGATGATGAAAAAATAAAATATTTCCACGTTCAGCATCTGCTCTATAGGTATTAGGAAGTTTTTTATTCACCAGCATTTAATATGTTTTTACCTGTTTAAAGTACATGGAAACTAGATCTCTCTCCCTGTCTGTCTTTTTAAACTCACAGACGTTTTGCTCCTGATATTTCGTCCTATGTCTTGTCTGATGACATTAAGTTGCATTCACTTCAGCTGCTACCCATTTACCAAACAGGTAAGTATGACCGTGATACAATGCAGTGAGGTGAAAGGCTGCTCGGAGGAATAATAACGTGTGTAATAGGTTATTTAGGTTCTTCTACTGAGCCTTCCTGTAGCTTTGGACAATTTCCTTAGCAAATCTCTGTGAGCACTAGAAAGGGAAGTTGTGTCTGCTAGGAGAAGCCATGGATAGGACATGACAGACAAATGCCATTTCCCTTTTAAAAAAAATGGTCACTAGACCCAAAAAACGCTGCTATAGCTGATGTTTACTGGGTTCCAGCTGGGTATTTGGCAGACTTCTGTGATAGCTGTGAGAAAGGTGGGGATGGACTGAAGGAAGTTCATTCAGAGCAGTGTTTTTCAGTCATGCTGCACATTGGGTTTACTTGGGTACCTTTAAAAATAGTGATGCCCAGCCTGACCAGCGTCGCTCAGTGGTTGAGTGTCAGCCTATGAACCAGGAGGTCATGGTTCAATTCTGGGTTCGATTCTTGGTCAGGGAACCTGCCCAGATTGTGGGCTCGATCCCCAATGGGGGGCATGCAGGAGGCAGCCAATCAATGATTCTCTCTCATCGATGTTTCTATCGCTCTCTCTCCCTCTCCCTTCCTCTCTGAAATTTAAGAAGAAAAGAAAAATAGTAATGCCCAAACTCTACTAGTATATGCTGGAAATTCTGACATAATCTGTCTATTATGGAACCTGGGTACCAGTATTTTTTAAAAGCTTCCCAGGAATGTAATGGGCAGCCAAAATTGAGAATCAACATTGGGTTCTATACTTAGTTCTGACCTGTTTAATATCTTTAGATGTTGCCTAGAGAAAGGTATAAATATTGTTCTGATTAAATGTGTTTATACCTTCATTTATTTTTTATTTGTTTTAGTAAACATTTATTGAATACTTACAATGCTGGATATGGTGCTGAATACTAGGGAATTAATATTAAGCAAAAGTAGGCAAAGTATTTACACTCATGGAGCTTATGGTCTTATGGGGGAGATAGATGATTATTAGTCGAAGCCCATTGCACGAAGATTCACGCAATAGGCCTTCCTTCCCCTGGCTGCTGGCACCAATTTTCCTCTGGCACCTTTTACTTTTGTAAATGTGATTTCTGGGAAACTTTAAATTACATATGCGGCTCACATTACATTTCTGTTGACAGTGCTAGTCCAGACTTAGTCTTGATCATAATAATACTAATTATTATGTAACACAAGTAGTGTTGAGTTCTGTTGAAAGGTACATAGAATCTGGTTGTCTCTTTTAGTAATATTAATAGCCATTAATGATTATTATCTAGCTCTGTTCCAATATGGTGATACTCTATATCACTCCTTTTTAATTTCTTACTGGCATTCTTCTATAAAGAGCAACTTCCCCTAAAAAGCTCTTTGGTTATCTACTAATAGACTTTTTGGCCTAAAAAAGTAAAAATATTGCTTCCCTTTGTTTTCTGGTTTTATTGTTTGTTTGTTTTTTCTTTTTCATACAGATTCTCTTACTTCTGAGAGAAAAAATTTGTCTCAGGAAAAGGAGTTGCTGAGTCTCTTTTGTTTTTTCTCATTGCCTCATGTGGGCTATCTCTACCTGGTGGTCAAATCGGTTGAATTAATGTCAGTTTACCAATATCCCGAGAAGTCTCAACAGGCAGTACTCACGCCACAATTTTTGCATGTCATCACAAGGTATGTTACAGTTGCTGGCCTTTGAGTCACTTATTTTTCTGTAAATTCTTGATGAATGAGAATCTAAATGAGAATCGAGTGAACCAATATATAGCTCTGAAAATTAATGTATATATCTGCCTTTTGATGGCCCATACCTGCCCTTTTAGTGTAAATGTTCTGGTTTTGCCTTTTTTAATTTTCTGAGACTGGATGGGGATCTTTGTAAGAAAGAAGGGGGTTCTTTGCTGGGGTCCAGCCCCAGTGGTCCAGGGGTTCCCAAAGGTGTGGACAGAGTCCGCGAAGAATGTTTTACACAGAGACAGCATTCAGAGCTCTCTAGCTCTCTCTAGTCTCCGTGGATCTTCCTGTGCCTGGCTGAGGCCACAGAGAAAAGATCCTGAGGCAAACTGAGCCTTTATTTTATAGTGAGAGGTAAACAAGGTAGTGGTTTCCATAGTTACACAGTTCTTGTGAGTTTCACTTGTTTTGGCCACTTCCTGCACTTCCCTCAGCCCATTAGCTCCCAGATAAGATCTAGAGAGCCTCATAAGGTCAAGCCTAATTATGCTAAGAGGACTGTGCCCTCTAAGCTGGGAATTGTTTGTGACTTTACCAACAGGTCAGTCCGAGGCTTAACCCTATATCAGCTCCCCACAGTTCTTCATGAGGAAGATTTTTAAAAAAATTTATTTTATTATTTTTTTACAGAGAGGAAGGGAGAGGGATAGAGAGTTAGAAACATCGATGAGAGAGAAACATCAATCAGCTGCCTCCTCCACACCTCCTCCTGGGGATGTGCCCGCAACCAAGGTACATGCCCTTGACCAGAATCAAACCCGGGACCTTTCAGTCCACAGGTCCATGCTCTATCCACTAAGACAAACCCGTTAGGGCCATGAGGAAGATTTTTATATGGAATTCTAATGAAAAGTCAGTGGGACCAGTCAGGGCATCCCTAGATTTCTTTTCCTAATTTTTTTTCAGTGCTACTATATCTTTTCTGTATGAGTTGAATTATTCCATAATGATTTAGAACTATGAAGGGGCCAGAAACACTATCTGATTGTATCTTTCATTGGTGCAGATGGGGAAGTAGTCCAGAGGTTGAGATTGGTCAAGGTCATGTTGCTAATTGTTGGCAGGTGTCTTTTGAGTTGCCTTATCCTGGTTTGCTGGCATCTAAACTGGGGTCCTGAGCAGGACTTTGACCTCATTTCCTTTTATTTCAACTGTAAGTGATGCTTTTGGTTTTATTTCCTGGGTTTTTTTTTAAGCTTAGATTATGTGCAAGGCATGTACATTTGGGCCTTCTGGCCGAGCAACTGTGAATAAGGTACACCATCTGCTTTCTAAAGCAACAAAATAGAGGGGGCCAGAGATACATAAACAGGGCACAATCACTAGGAGATTTGTGAAAAATGTCTTAAGACTTCATGAAAGTGGTAGGCACTGGGAGGAGAGAAATTACTTTGGCTAAGTCGTATGGGAAAGTTTTTTGTGTTTGAAGTGCAGCCTGAGAGCTAGTTAGAATTTGACAGATGGAAATTGGAGGAGAAGGGCATTATGGAGGGAAGACTATAAACAAAGGGTATGTTTTATAGTTTTGCAGGAGCAACCAATAATTTATTGTAAATTAAATTATTTTTTTAAAAGGATAGTGATTTTTTCTTTCTTTCTTTTTTTTTTTTTTTTTTCAACTGAGTGGTGGTATCAGAATCTCCAGCAGGTGCTAGAATATATTTCAAACAGCACAAGATCCACCTGGGGATTTGATGCCCACTCCTAGTGTGGGTGCTCCCCTCTTCCCCCACTGTCTGGTGTAAGGAGAAATGCTATTGTGTGTTTCTTAAGTGAACATTGTGGAGCTAGTTAGTCTTTTCAATTTCCAAAGTGTTGTGTAGTGATGTAACTCAGGGCTTTGAAAATTAAACTAAGGATATTTTAAGGTTTTGACAAAAGAAAGTGATGTGGTCAGAGCATTGTTTTAGGAAAATTAATAGTGGCCATTATGGAGGTTGGATTGAACATAGATAAATAAGCTATTGAAGTGGTTCAGGTAAGGATAATGAAGGGCTGAATTTGGGCAGGGCAGTAGCAGTGAGAAAGAAGAATGGATGGGAGAGGTTTTGGCAAGAGAATTAAAAGACTTGGTTTCGGATGGGATAGTTGGAAGGGGGACGCTTGAAAACCCCATGAGTTTTGAGCCTACTTTTATGAAAGAATGGAGGCTGGTGTAGTGTGGGGCAAAAGAGAAATTTGTTTTACATATTTGAATTGGAGGTGCTTAGGAAATATAAAGAGGAAATGTTAAGTATGCTTTTGGACACATAAGATTAAAGATTAGGGAAGAGAGGAAAACTTAGATGTTTTATTATGATAAAAAAAAAAGAGCTGATTAATTTAAGTAGTGAGCATAGCTCCTAGAGTGTGTAGTAGAGAAAAGTAGTTGAACTAAAAGTCTGGTGAAGGTCATGTTTAGGAAGCAAGAGGTGGAAGAGAAGAATCTTCAAGGATGTGGAAACCTAGGAAACTATAACATCTCAGAAACCAAGGAAAAAATAGAGGGAGAAAGAAGGAATAAAATATCAATTTGTATCCCAAAATATTGATGCAAAGAGTATCCATCTTTCCTCCATCTCATTGCACAGATGTTACAGGACAGAGAATTTACTGAGTGGACCCTCTAAACGCACCCCCCCCCCCCACTTTAAGTGTAAGTCATGTGTTTTTGCAGACCAGTATGTTTATATACCCTAAAAAAAAAAAGCAATAGAAAATAAGATTTTATCTAAGAATTTAAAATCATGTAAAATGTTACCCTTATAGCAATGCATAAATGAGTCCTACTTCTCAGAGTCAACCACATCAACATGTTCCTCTGACTTAAAAAAAAAAATACTACTACTATGATTTGTTTTTCACAGAAGTGGATTGTATATCCACTGATCAGCATGATTAGCAGCATGTCCTGCACATCTTTCCAGGCAGCATGTTTCAGTTCACTTTAATTTTTTACGGTACTCCTTTCTGCTTCAACAGTAGCCAGCAGCTGAAGTGGAGGGGAGCCAGAGGAGCCAGTCTTTTTACCTCTAGACCCTAACAGTAATCCACTACTTTTATTAGACCTTTGGTCATTCTGGCCCCACTGCAGGTGCTGTTTTGTTCCTCACTGTCTCAAAGTACCTTCCAATCATTTTAATTCCTCAGAATGCTCTCTACTCCAAATTTCTAAGTGGTAGTGCTGTTGTCATGATTTTAGAGGTCATGTCCTAGAACTTTGTGGAAATAGACAGAAATGGCAGTGGGCTGAGGCTAAAGTGGAGCCCCAACAAACAGATGGAGAGAGCCCTGACTGATGCCCCTCCCCTACCTTGTGCAGAGTCTTTCAAGATTATTGTTAGATTTGCTTTAGTCTTTTGCCTTTTTATTTTAACAGAGTTCATTTTCTTTTTTTAAAATATATTTTTATTGATTTCAGAGGAACGGAGAGGCAGAAATATCAATGATGAGATTGATCAGCTGTCTCCTGCATGCCCCACACTGGGGATCAAGCCTGCAAACCCGGGCATGCACCCTCACTGGGAATTGAACTGTGACCTCTGGGTTCATAGGTCGATGCTCAAACACTGAGCCATGCCGGCCAGATCAGAGTTCATTTTCACTTCTCCCACTTTTTAATTTGTTATTTAAAAATCATTCCTGTGAATTCACTACAAGATAGGTTTTGTAGCAATTTCTAAGTTAACTGTTTTTAATGTCAATATTGCAGTGCTGAGTTATCCACCAGTCAGTCACCAGGCATCTATTGTGCACTTACTGTATGGGTCCCTATGTTGTTTCCACAGAAGCAGCCTGGGGTTGTGGAAAGAGATAGAGGCGTGTGAGGAGTGAGGAGACCTGGGATCTAATTTTGCTCTATTCTCCAGGGAGGGCTTGGACCAGTCATGAACCTCCCATGCCCTAATCTTTAAAACAAGCTGCTGGATTGATAATACTTGAAGATTCCATCAGCCAGCCTCTGATTTTCTGTTCTACCACTGGATTTGTGTTTGCATCATCTAAGTGTGTTGTCCAGCATAATCCAAGCTCAATTTCATCCTGAGATGAGTGGAATAGAGATTATAGTCAAGAATTTGGCTTCTAATCTTGGCTTTGATACTGAATTCTCTGTACCTTGGACTGGTCCTAGTGGCATCATTTGTCTGCCAAATGAGGCTATTTGACCTAGATCCCTGGTTCTTAACTAGGGGTGTACAACAGAGCCAAATGTAGAATTCTGTGGAGACACACGTGTCTGGATTCAGCCCCTAGAAATTATGATTCAAAGGAGTAAGGTGAGGACCAGTTATGTTTTAAAAAATACTCTATAGGGATTTTGAGGACTCTCCTTGATAAGCAGTCTACCTCATCAGCATTTTACAGATACTTGTGTCTTCTTCCCCTTTGGCCATAGTTCTGTTCACCTCCAAAATACTCCCAGCTATGGACACATTTTTGGCCTTCATTTTGCTCAGTGGCCTTTTTCCTCTTCCTCAGTAACAACCTGCAGTGTTTCACAGTGCGGTGCAGTGCGGCAGCAGCTCGTGAAGAGGATCCATACGTGGACTCCACCCTGAAGGTTAGAACTGCATTGTTAAGACAGTGCAATCTTAGATAAAAAAGGAATGAATTCACACTTGCAAATGCGCTCTTGGGTGTAAGCAAGGTGAACAGTAAAGGTCTTAAGATCTTGTTTATTGAATTAGAACCTTTGAATGTAAAATAGTAAGCAATTTTTGATTCATGGTTTAGTTGACAATATTTAAGATTATTTTGAAAACATTTCACTCAGAATTTAGGTCTAGTACATAGTTTTGAAAGTTTGGTAGAGAATATGCATAGTGTAACTTCAGGAAGAGTACTTCACAACTATAGTATACTACAATTTTATTTTTTAACAGAAATATTGGTGGCAATTATATGTAGCTATTAACACATCAGTTTAGAAACTAGTATATTCAAGAATACAAAATTGAATAAAGTACATTAAAATAATTTCTTTGTATTGTTATCAGATATGCCTATAATTCTTTTGTTATTTTACAAGCCTTCAACAATCTTTTGTATTTCTGTAGACTAAATCTAGGAGTTAATAGATATATTAGATCAATAACCTCATTTTTAGTATGCTTAGTCTGTGCAAAGCTCTTGACTACAAAATAAACATAGGTCATCTATGATGAAATTCTATGTTTTCTGATGTTGAATTTCTGTTCTCAAAAATATACTGATCATTTTTATGATATTCATCGTATGGTATATCACCTCTGACGTATAAGCTGCTTGAATGGATGTTTGTTGTGAAGATATAGGCTGCAGGAAACCCCAAAAGCATAATGGCCTGTAGTTTACAGGTTAGTTTATGTCTATCATAAAAGGCATCTGGAACACCTTTTCTTGGAAAACTAAGTGCTCAGTAACGATTGTTATGTTAAGAAGCCAGCACTGTGAAGTGCTAACGTGTCTGAGGCACTCTCCTGTTATCACTGTTGTGATTTGAGTTCTCAGTAACTCTTTTTTTTGTTGTGGCCCAACCTGTAGCTTTTTTGTTGCTGACCAGGCTTGCTGCCTACCTTAAGCCTCTTGGGACGCCGGAATCACATCTTTTCCTTGTCTTTCTGTCTGTGGTTAAGATATACACATGGGCTTTTAAATAGATTATTTTTAAAATAAAGGTTATTTTCCTAGTAAAAATTGAAAGCTGACAGATTCTTTGCCCCTTTCTTCTCCCCACACCATGCCTTTAAGGAAAAAGGAAAACACTCAGAAAGACATAGGCTTACATAGGTAGTGATGGTAGAGTGAGGGGTATATAATAGATTGAGGTAGGATCAAAGCTACAATAAAAATGTCAGGTAATAACAAATGTTGGTGAGGACGCTAAGAAATTGGAACCCTCATACATTGCTTGAGGGAATATAACATGGTGTGGCCATCTTGGAATAAGTCTGATATTTCCTCAAACAGTTAAACATTGAGTTACCCTGTTACCCAGTGATTCAACTTCTAGGTATATGCCCAAGAGAGATGAAAAAAATACATCTACACAAAATGCCCACACATTATATACAAATGTCTATAGCAGCATTATTCATAATAACTAAAAGGTGGAAGCAACCCAAATGTTTATCAGCTGATGAATGGGTAAACAAAATGTGATATATCCATATAACGGAATATTACTTGGTCATAAAAAGAAATGAAGCACTGACATATGGATAAACACATGGAAACTGGCACATGGAAGTGCCATAACATGGATGAACCTTGCTATAACATAGATGACCCTTTTAGCACTATAACATGGATGAATCCTGAAAGAAACCAGTTACCAAAGACCACACACATAATTACATGATTTCATTTATATAAAAGTCCAGAATAGGCATACCAATAGAGACAAAGAGTAGATTAGTTGTTGCTTAGGATTGGGATGGATGAGAGAGGGGGACAATAGCAAAATGGTACATAGTTTCTTTTTGAGATGATGAAAATGTTCTAAAATTGACTGTGGTGTTGGTTGCACATATCTGTTTGCTAAACACTATTATACTAAAAACCACTCAGTTGTATGCTTTAAATGGGTGAATTATATAGTATGTGAATTATATGTCAATAAAACTCTTAAGAAAAAAAAGGGAAAATAAAGAAAATAAATAATAACTTCAGGTCTTCTCAGTCTCATAAAACCAGAGAGAAGGAACCCAAGAGAGGAAAGGAGAAAAGAAGAGAGACCGGTAGCTGGTTGGGGCAGCTGCACTTGAGACCCGTCCTCATGAGCGTACACACCTCATGGCTCCCCCTTCCCTGCACCCCCACCATCTGAAATCCCAGGTGCCACCTGAGTGAGCACGCATTTAGCCCACTTGCCGACTCAGGCTTTGGTAGCTGCGAGGTCTGAGAAAGATTTCACAGCCTCATAGTTTGGCCCAAAGGGCACATAGCTTTTTTTCCCATTCCTCTCAGATTCCAGCTCTTAAGCACTAGCCAGGGCCACCTTACTATTCTTAGGGATGAAAACATAGATGGAGGTGTTTCCCCAAGCATGTTGTACAAATGGACAAGGAAGATGACCTCGGAATCAAACAGTGTGAATGCAGGAGGAGGCATGGATCTGGCAGCCTTAACATGGATGAACCTTGCTATAACATGAATGTTTTGTGAGCTCCCTGAAAGAGTTCTTCCGTTATCTTTCTTATCCATTCTAGTTGAATTAATGTTCCCTTATAGGGACAGGCGCCTGGCTCCCAATCCAGATTTCCTCCAGTTTACCTGACACACCCAACCTGTCAGGCATTCTAGGCAGTGTTCCCACTTAAGGACCTAAGAGTCAGGGGCCATCTGAACATACAAGCATTTTCATCCTACACACCCATCTACTAAGAAACCATTTTATTTACTCTCTGTGCAGTGGAATGCCTTTTTGTAGTATCTCATTTTGCCTAGGAGCTCTGTTTGGGCATACTCCCAAGCCAGCATGCTATTAGTGGGATTTCCCTGGGTGGCTGCACTTCCAGAGTCATGGGGAGTCCCTACTGCTGTGAGGGCCTTGGACACACCCACTTTCTGAAGTCATTCAGAAAGGGTAGCTCTTTGACAGGCACATATGAAGTAGATAGTTGGTTATATAAGTTTAGATAGAATAACCTCCTTGCTCTGATAAGAATAGGAATTTGAGGAGTTTTTTTTAAGGGGGTAGAACAGAAGAGACTTTATCAACTAAATAGACGGATTTTTGAAGATTAAAGTTCATATATGTTTTTTCCTTGGTTAAATTTGTGATTTTTTCCTTTACTAGGCTTGCCCACCTGTCAGTATGGATGTCTGTGCTTTAAGAATACAGCTTTTCATAGGCTTGAAAGCCATCTGTCACTTTAAAAACCACATCATACTTCTGACCAAGGCAGACCCTGAGGCCATTCCAGAGAGAAGAGAGGCACCAAGGAGGCTTCTGTGAGCATCCCCCTCCCAAGAGAGTCCTGCCAAAGTTTCTGCACTGAATTGTTATGGGTGTATTCTGTCTGTGTTTTACTCTATGTTTTTTTATTTTATTTTTTAATTTTTTAAAACATATTTTTATTGATTTTAGAAAGGAAGGGAGAGGGAGAGAGAGATGAAAACATCAATGATGAGAGAGAATCATTGATTGGCTGTTTTCTGCACACCTCCTATTGGGGATCAAGCCTGCAACCCAGGCATGTGCTCTTGACCAGAATCTAACCTAGGACCCTTCAGTCCATAGGCTGATGCTCTATCCACTGAGCCAAACCAGCTAGGACTACTCTATGTTTTGTAAATCAAAACTCTGAATGACCAGATGACTTTTCTATGGTGTTCTTTTTTTTTAAAAAAAAATATATTTTATTGATTTTTTACAGAGAGGAAGGGAGAGAGATAGAGAGTTAGAAACATTGATGAGAGAGAAACATTGATCAGCTGCCTCCTACACATCTCCTATTGGGGATGTGCCCGCAACCCAGGTACATGCCCTTGACTGGAATCGAACCTGGGACCTTTCAGTCCGCAGGCTGACACTCTATCCACTGAGCCAAACCAGTTTCGGCTGTTCTTTTTCTAGAGAGAGAAAATAGGTTTTAATAATGTCCATAATATCCTTTATAATTGACCTCAGAACTTTTAAAAGAAAATGAACTATAAAATAGTTTCAATAAATGTCTGGTATTTTAGATAAAATGTTAAAGGACATGTTTTTCTGTGTAGTTAAAGAGAAAGACAAGGCCTCTAATGCTAGCCTAAATGATAAGTTTCTTAATACATATTTTTCTTTTTTGACCTTTCAGTGCTGCATTTTTATCCAAAGACTAGAGGCCCAGTGCACGAAAATTCGTGTACTTAGGGGAGTCCCTCAGCCCGGCCTGTGCCCTTTTGCAGTCCGGGACCCCTTGGGGGATGTCCACCTGCCAGCTTAGGCCGGCCTAAGCTGTTAGTCGGACATCCTTAGTGCCGCAGAGGAGGTGGGAGAGGCTCGCGCCACCACCGCGGCGCTCGCAGGCGTCAGCCCAACTTCTGGCCGAGCGGAGTTCCCCCTGTGGGAACGCACTGACCACCAGAGGGCAGCTTCTACGTTGAGCGTCTGCCCCCTGGTGGTCAGTGTGCATCATAGCCACCGGTTATTCCCAGTCGTTCCACCATTAGGGTCAATATGCATATTACCCTTTTATTATATAGGATTATTTTCTGGTATTTCAATTCAAAAGAAATTAACAATATCTTTCTTACCTTAAATCACATTCATAATATATAGATATGTGCTGATCTACCTTAAAATAGAATTGCAATTTGATAGCACTAATCTTTGGTTGACGCTTCTGTGTTCTGTTTTCACTGTTTAAAACAGAATAGTTACACTTCTATTTGATGTCTTCTATACTGTGAACTTAGTGGTAGGGAAAATTTTATCAGGTAAGAAAATTTTGGAGAGATAAGAAACATAATGAGTTTCAAATCTAAAATTGGTTTTTATTTTTAACATTAAGTTTTTGATGATTTTTAAATTGCTTGTGCCTGTACTTGTTCCACCAAAAGGAATAAACAGGTTTACTTGGTTAAGTGATCATTTAGAGAGTTCAGAGTGGTCTAAGCGTAAAAGCTTCTGAGAGAAAAAACAACTTGTAATCTTGCACATTTGACATTTGTAAAGTATTATATATTCCTTTGGTTGATCTCTAGTTCCCCTTCCTCCTCCCCTGCCATTTGTCTCTGGATCTATTTTTGTTCATCAGTTTCTGTTGATCATTATATCCCACATATGAGTGAGATTATGTGATATTTATCTTTCTCTAACAAACATAATTTCAATTAACATAATGCTCTCCAGTTCCATCCATGCTGTTGCAAATGGTAAAAGTTCCCTCTTCTTTACCTCAGCATAGTATTCCATTATGTAGATGTACCACAGTTTTCTAATCCACTCATCTACTGATGGGCACTTAGGCTGTTTCCAAATCTTAGCTATGGTGAGTTGTGCCACTATGAACATAGGGGTGCATATATCCTTCCTAACTGGTGTTTCTAGTTTCTTGGGATATATTCCTAGAAGTGGGATCACTGGGTCAAATGGGAGTTCCATTTTTAGTTTTTTTGAGGAAACTCTATACTGTTCTCCACAGTGGCTGCATCAGTCTGCATTCCCACCAACAATGCACGAGGGTTCTTTTTTCTCCACATCCTCACCACACTTGTCCTTTGTTGATTTGTTGATAGCCATTCTGACAGGTGTGAGATGGTATTGCATTGTCGTTTTAATTTGCATCTCTCAGATGATTAGTGACTTTGAGCATGTTTTCATATATCTCTTGACCTTCCTTATGTCTTCTTTCAAAAACTATCAACAACAAAAAAATAAAAAACAAAGGAAAGTATCTATTTAGGTCTGTTGCCCATTTTTTGATTGGGTTGTTTATCTTCCTTTTGTTAAGTTGTATGAGTTCCCTGTAAATGTTGGAGATGAAACCCTTATTGGTGATAACATTGGCAGATACGTTCTCCCATGCAGTGGGCTTTCTTGTTGTTTTGTTGATGGTCTTTTACTATGCAAAAGCTTTTTATTTTGATGTAGTCCCATTTCTTTATTTTCTCTTTAGTTTCCATTGCCCTAGGAGCAGTATCAGTGAAGAAATTGCTTCGACATATGTCTGAGATTTTGCTGCCTGTGATTCCTCTGGTATTTTTATGGTTTCCTGTCTTATGTTTAAGTCCTTTATCCATTTTGAGTTTATTATTGTGTATGATGTAAGTTGGTGGTCTAGTTTCATTTTTTTGCATGTATCTGTCCAGTTTTCCCAACACCATTTATTGAAGAGACTGTCTTGACACCATTGTATGTTCTTGCCTCCTTTGTCAAATATTAATTGAGCATAGTGGTTTGGGTCAATTTCTGGGTTCTCTATTCTATTCTGTTCATCTATGTCTGTTCTTGTGCCAGTACCAGGCAGTTTTGAGAACAGGGGCTTTTTAATACAGCTTGATATCTGATATTGAGATCCCACCTACTTTGATCTTCTTTCTCAGTATCGCTGCAGCTATTCCGGGTCTTTTTTTATTCCAGACGAATTTTTGGAAAGTTTGTTCTAGGTCTGTGAAATATGCCGTTGGTATTTTAATCGGGAGTGCATTGAATGTATAGATTGCTTTGGGTAGTATGGACATTTTAATGATGTTGATTCTACCAATCCATGAACACGGTATGTTTTTCTATCTGTTTATGTCTTCCTCTAGCTCTTTTTTCAGTGTCCTATAGTTTTCTGAGTAGAGGTCTTTTTCCTCAGTTAAGTTTATTCCTAGGTATCTTAATTATTTGGTGTGTTGGTAAATGGGATTGCTTTTTTAGTCTCTCTTTCTGTCAGTTTACTATTGGTGTATTGAAATGCCATAGATTTCTTGACATTAATTTTATATCCTACATTGCCGAATTCATTTATTAAGTCTAATAATTTTTTGATGTAGTCTTTAGGGTTTTCTATGTACAGTATCATGTCATCTGCGAATAAGGACAGTTTTACTTCTTCTTTTCCAATTTGGATGCCTTTTATTTCTTCTTGTCTAATCGTAATGGCTAGTACTTCCAGTACTATGTTGAACAGGAGTTGTGGGAGTGGGTATCCCTGTCTTGTTCCTGTTCTTAGGGGAAATGGTTTAAGTTTTACCCATTGAGTATGATGTTGGCTGTAGGTCTGTCATATATGGCTTTTATTATATTGAGGTATGATCCTTCTATTCCCACCTTGCTGAGAGTTTTTATCAACAAAGGGTGTTGGATTTTGTCACATGCTTTTTCTGCATCAATTGATATGACTATGTGATTTTTTTTTAATACATTTTATTGATTTTTTTACAGAGAGAAAGGGAGAGCGATAGAGAGTTAGAAACATCGATGCGAGAGAAACATCGATCAGCTGCCACCTGCACACCCCCCACTGGGGATGTGCCCGCAACCCAGGTACATGCCCTTGACCAGAATTGAACCTGGGACCTTTCAGTCCGCAGGCCGACGCTCTATCCACTGAGCCAAACCTGTTTCGGCTGACTATGTGATTTTTATCTCTCAATTTGTTTATGTGATGTACCACGTTTATTGATTTGCGGATATTGTACCATCCTTGCATCCCTGGGATAAATCCTACTTGGTCATGGTGCATGATCTTTCTGATGTACTGCTGGATCCGATTTGCTAAGATTTGTTGAGGATTTTGGCATCTATGTTCATGAGGGATATTGGCCTGTAATTCTCTTTCATTTTGTTGTCTTTATCTGCTTTTGGTGTTAGGTTGATGCTGGCTTCATAGAATGAGCTTGGAAGTGTTCCTTCCTGTTGAATTTTTTGGAATAGTCTGAGGAGGATAGGATTTAGTTCTTCCTTGAATGTTTGGTAAAACTCCCCTGTGAAGCCACCTGGCCCCAGGCTTTTGTTTGCTGGAAGCTTTTTGATGATTGCTTCTATTTCTTCCATAGTTATCATCCTTAAGATTTTTAGATTCTTCCTGATTGAGTTTTGAAAGGTTGTATTTTTCTAGGAATATGTCCATTTCCTCTGTGTTGTCTAGTTTGTTGGAATAGAGTTGTTCATAGTATTTTTTAACAAGCCTTTGTATTTCTGTGGGGTCTGTTGTTATTTCACTTCTTTCATTTCTGATTTTGTTTATTTGGGTCCTTTCTTTTTGCTTGATATGAATTCAATCTTCTTGAATTTGAAGAGACTTTGCTTGTGACCCAATATGTGGGCTATTTTTGAAAATGTCCCATGTGCACTTGAGAAGAATGTATATTCCATGGCTTTGGTGTGAAATGTTCTAAAGATGTCAATTAAGTCTATCTGATCTAGTGAGTCATTTAGGATTCCTGTTTCTTTGTTGATTTTTTGTCTAGAGGATTTATCCAGTAATGTCAGTGGTGTATTAAAGTCCCCTACTGTGATTGTATTGTTGTTGATCTCT